GATGGCCTGCATCAGCACATTGCTCATTTCCATCTATTCTCTTATGCATTTCAGTGAACAAGGATTCAGACTTGGTGCCTCAATCATTTCACCTTCAGGTACGTGGCAATATCAGTGTATGTACCTAGGTCTCATTTTGATATCATCCTTGAAACATTAGAATGCAAGACCTTCTAGGATTCCAATGAAATCTAAGCCATAAATCTTGGGTCCTCCCTTCCTTTTTGGAATCCAATTTGACTAAGACCATGATAAAAGGGTGGTAATTAAAGATGCCTTGACTTTATAATTCCAATTAGTAGATATTGGGTAACTGATCTGTGAATTTTCGAACAGGTGTGAATAAGAATTGGATCAGGACTTTCAGTCCATATAATTACACAGCATATTCATAGGTAAATGTATTTTTCAAATACATTCCACATTGATTGTTAATACCTTGGCAAGAGTTTTATGTTGTCACTGTGCCAGGAAGTTTTCATGCTCCAGTCTTGCATAGATGTTGCTCAGGAGTGTCCAATCTGCAGGCCCAGGAGTGCAGGGAGATCACTAGGTTACCTTTCTGAGGGTCAAAAGGGAGAGAGACTCACAGTGTTCTCGTGTACTAATGCGCACATCAGTAAGTTTAAATCAGATACAATTTCTTTTTGTTAGGATTAGTGAGCTTGTCCTGAGATGCAGGCAACAAGCCACATGAGGCAATTTGACAATATGCAACTGGACAGACATTCTCCTCTTGGCATAGATGCACAGGCTCAGCCTTATGTGGATAACCACTCACCACACATAAATGGCATGAAATTTCAAACACATGAATGTCATCCCAAGCTATGAATTCCTCCATCCTTCATGCATTAAGGAATTGGGCAAGAGATCAGGTGAAGGGATCCAATGCATGTGGTGCTTGGGAAGTTAAGAAACTTGAGGTTATACATCCTACAATGGTGAGTACTCAGTGTTGTCAGAGGGAAGTTGGATAGCTCTGTGCAGAGCAGAAGAGATGTCTTGAACCTAGTGAGACACAGTAAATGATCAGATGGTAAAATATTTACACCAGGCCTATAATATGCCCTTCCAATAGTCTGTCACCTCATGCATTGAATGCTGGCAGTGAGGTTGAGGAGGAAACCAGTGAAGGGTTAGTCTTAGCTAGGTGTTTCAAAAGGTAACTGCATTTACAATTTATCATTAACAACCCCTAAGCACTGATTATCCATGCACCCAATCATCATAATGTAGATATTGGGCTTTCAAAAACTGAACATTGCAATTCTGCTGACACTGACTTGCAACTTTGGAACCATAAAATTTTCCTTGACTTAGACAACTGCTTCTGCTTCATACCCTGCAGGAGTCTAATGCCCGCTGACTATTTGTTTGAAGTTTGCCGAGACCTTCTTTGTAGACAGATGGTCTTTGTCATCCTGGTAAGCAGAACAGTTTGTGTCCCACTAGAAGGTATAGCTATGCCTTCTGAGTTCACGGGTCTATGATGACAAACCAAAGTCATGAAGAGAGGTGATGACATAAATATCATGCTCAGGTTCCGGCTGCTGAGGCCCAGGCTAAAGGACAGAGGAAAAATGGGAGACTAGGCCAATCAGGCCTTTATCATAGGCCAGAGCACAGGCTCTCATTCACCCAGCAGTGTTTCCCTTCTGGGTAATCCTGTTAAGTCAAATGCTCTTCCCTAGGGGAGCATGAGTCCTGCCAAGGAAGGCCCTTTTTGGCGAAATCTATGTATGTCAATCTGGCCAGCATCAGCACGCTGCTCATTTCCATCTCTTCTCTTCTGCATTTCAGTGAACGAGGATGCAGAATTAGTGACTCAATTATTTCACCTTCAGGTACGTGGAAATATCAGCTTAAGTACCAAGTTCTCCTTTGGATATCCTACTTCAAACATTAGAAAACTAGACCTTCTAGGAATGCAGTGAAATTTAAGCCAGAAAACTTGCGATCTCCCTTTTTTTTTGGAATCCAATCTGAAGAAGACCATGATAAAAGGATGGTAACTCAAGATGCCTTGTCTTTTAGAATTCCAGTTAGTAGATAGTGGTAACTGAGCTCTGAATTTTTGAACAGGTGGGACACAAGAAATGGATCAGGACTTTCAGTCCATTGTAATTACACAGCTCATTGATAGGTTAATATATTCTTCAAATACCATCCCTACTTATTGTTACTGCGTTTCCAAGACCTTCATGTTCTCACTCTGATGTATTCATGCTCCAATCTCACGTAGATCGTGCTAGGAGTGTCCACTGTGCAGTCCCAGGTCTGCTGAGACAATACTAGGTTACCTTTCTGAGGGTCTAAATGGAGAGAGAGACTCACAATGTTCTATTGCACTAATGTACATATCATTAAGACAAAGTGAGATACCTTTTCTTTTTGTTAGGATTAGGGAACTTGTCCTGCCATGCAGGCATCATCCCACATGCGGCAATTCAACAGGGTGCAACTGGGCAGGCATTCCTTTCTTCTCCTAGATGCACAGGCTCAGCATCATATGGATACCCACTCACCACACATATGTGGCATGAAATTTCAAACACATGAATGACAACGCAAGCTATAAACACCCCCATCTTTCATGTGATAAGGAATTGGCCAAGAGAACAGGTGAAGGAGTACTCTGCATGTGGTGCTTTGGCAATTAAGAAACTGGAGGTTATGCATCCTACAATGGTGATTAGTCATGGATGTCAGAGAGAAACAGGATAGCTCTGTGCAAATCAGATGTGATGTCTTGTACCTTGTAAGACACAGTGCATGTTCAGGTGGTAAAATATTTTCACTAGGCTTATAATATGGATTTCCACTGGTCTGTCACCTCATGCAATTAATGCTGGCAGTGAGAATGAGGATGAAACCAGTGATGGCTTAAACATGGCTAGGGGTGTCAATCAGGAAAACACATTGGCAATTTAACATTATCTACCCTATAGCACTGATTATCAATGACCCAATAATCTTAATCCATAGTTTGGGCATTCCAAACCAGGGCATTGCAATTCTCCTGATGCTGGCATGAAACTTTGGAACCCCAAAATTTTTCTTGACTAAGACAACTAATTCTGCTTGATCACCTGCAGGAGCCTAATACCTTCTGACCATTTATGTCAAGCTTGCTGAGGCCTACCTTCTAGATAGATGGTCTTTGTCATCCTAGTAAGCCGCTCTGTTTGTGTCCCACTAGCAGGTATAGCTTTGCCTTCTGTGGATGCCATTCTATGATGACAAACCAATGAAATGAAGAGAGGGGATGACATAAAATTCATGATCACTGGGGTTCCACTGAGGCCCAGGCTAAAGGACAGGGGAGTAATTGTGGCCTAGTCTCCTCAGTCCATTCTCACAGGCCAGTACACAGGCCCTCATTCACCCATCAGTGTTTCCCAGGCTAGGGAACCCTGTGAAGTCCGGGTGCACTTCTCTTGGGGAGCATGAGTCCTGCCAAAGGATGCACTTTTTTGGGTACTCTATGTATTTCAATGCTGGCTAGCATCAGAATTCTGTTAATATCCATCTCTTCTACTCTGCATTTCACGGATCCAGGATGCAGACTTGGTGCAACTGTCATTTCACCTTCAGGTAAGAGAAAGATCATGTTAATTGCCTAGGTCTTTTTTTATATCTGCCTACAAATATTTAACGGCACGTTCTTCTAGGAATTCATTCATACTTGCAGCACAGAACATGTTCTCTCCCTCCCTTTTTGGTACCCTCTAGGCATATTTGCATGTGAAAAGTATGGCACTGCAAACTAACCTTTTCTTACATATTTGCAAATCTTAGGTGTTTAGAATTAGAGCAGTGAATGTTCATGTTAATGGGTCACAAGGATTGGTTCAGGATATACAGGCACTGTGCCTTGCACACCTCAGTATTACATAATTGAAATTCCTGGCTTGGGGTGTCTATCTAGCTCTCATGGTTACTATTACTTCCTGAATAAAAATTTCATATTCTCACTTTGTCAGGATATAGCTGTGCTCCAAAATTGCAAACATTTTGCTCATGAATTTCCACTATGCAGGCTCTCAATGGCAGGGAGATCACTGGGTTACTTTTGTTAGGCTCATAATGCAAATGGAGTCTCACAGTTTTCTTATGCTCAAATGTACGTATCAGTCAGGCAAACGCAGATATCTTTTCCTTTTGTTAGAATTAGTGAACTTGTCCTGACATGCATGCATCAGGCCAAATGAGGCAATTTGACAAGATGCAATTGTTCAGTCATTCCCCTCTTTGCCAAGATGCATAGGCTCATTATCATGTGGAGACCAAATCTTCACACATGAGTTTCATGGAATTTCAACCACATGAATGACTTTCCAAGCAACAAGGCTTCAGATGCATATGCTATAAGGAATGGGCCAAGAGTACAGGTGTAGGTGTCCTAAGTAGGTGATGCTTGTTCAACAAAAATCTTGAGGGTACACATCTTACAATGTTGATTGGGCAATGCTTTAAGAAAAAATGGGATAGAGCTGTGCAAAGAACTGGAGATGAATGATCATGGATCTTGTAAGACACAGTGCCTGAACAAAAGCTAAAATGTTTTCACCAGACTTATAATATGCCTTCCCAATGTTATGTCAGCTGATGCTATGAATGCCGGCACTGAGCATGAGGGTGACACATTTGAAGTGCAAAACTTGACTAGGGGTAGCAAACAGGTAACCTACACTATAATTTTTCATTATCTTTTTCACAGTTTGATTACAAATTGCCAAAAACTATCTTGCTAGAGAGTTTGGGTGTTCCGAAATTGGGCATTTCATCCCTCTGACACTGCCCTGTTATTTTGGTGGCACAATATTTTCCTTGCCTAGGAGAACTGTTTAGATGCTTGATCCCTTGAAACAGCCTAGTGCTGGCTGACCAATTGATTGAAGATTGCAGAGACCATCCTTCTAGATAATCTTTGTCATCGTGGTAAGCAGCAGTGTTTTTGACCCTCTACCATATATATCTATGCCTTCTGATGACGCGGGTCTATGATGACATACCAATGTCATGCAGGTCGATGAAGACGTAAAAATCATTTTCAATAGGATTACGATGAGGCCCAGGATATAAGACTAGGGAGAATTGAGGGCCTAGTCTACTCAAGCAGTTCTGATAAGCCAGTGCACAGGCCCTCATTCACCTAGCAGTGTTTCCTTGTCTGGGCAATCTTGTAAGGTTCAGATGCTCTTCTTTAGAAGAGCACTGAGCTTGCCTCAGAAGGACTTGTTGGGACAATCTATGTATGTCATATCTGCCATGTATCAGCACTATGCGCATTTCCATTTCTTCTCTCCTGGATTACAGTGATCAAGGATACTGATTGTGTGGCTCAATAATTTCACATTCAGGTAAGTTGAAATTCAGGTTAATTATCTTGGATGTTGTTGGATTTCTGCCTTCAATATTAGAAAGCATAAACTTCTAGGGATCCATAGACATTTAAGGCATAGATCTTGGGCTCTCCCTTCCTTTTGGTAATCCCTTAAGCCTCTTCCCATGAGAAGATGGTAATTCATACTGTTTTTTATTGTAGAATTCCAAATCATAGGTCTGGGAAACATAGCTGTGACTGTTCTGGGAAATGGAACACTTAGATTGGGTCTGATGTGCAGGTCCTGTGCCATGTTCAGTGATGGGTAAATGTTACCTTTAAATTCCTGGCTTTGGGTGTCTATCAAGCACTCATGCTGATTGTTATTGCTGGGGCAAAAACTTCATATTCTCGCAGTGTCAGGAGGTTGACATACTCCAAACTTCCAAATATGGCACTCATTCATGTCCACTATGCAGTCCCTCAACTACAGGGAACAGCAACACACAAACCACAAGGCCTGCTTTGGAAACAGTTCTGATATTACTGTTGATATTACTTGTTTCATCAATACCCATTACCTGATGGCACTTGGATACACACTGCATGATTCTATATAGTTCACATTGTTACTTGACAAAATAAAAATTCCATACTGCATTGTGAGACACAGGACAATTCGTGCTTCTTTTAGGGAGAAGAAGGTGAAAATATAGGGGAGATCAGAATGAGGAGAATGACAAATGTAGAAAAATCTCATAATGAATATATTATCATGAAATCCAAATGCTGAAATGTTTCTTAAAATTAATAAGAAGACCATCTTTGCCAGATTTTATGTGTTTTTAAAAGTATTTTATCAACTTTAAAAGCGCTGTTGTTTTTTCTCATTTTTATCATTAAAGCTGCAATTTTGAAATTCATAAGTTTTCGTCTCAAATGTATTTAAGAGGCAGAAGACCATATGTTCATTCTGATTGTGGTTCAGTAACTCTGGTCAGAATATGAGCCACAAGAAAACTTTACAGTCCTGACCATCCATTTCAAAGTCAAAGAGACTAGCTATTCCAGCTTTCCTGTACCATTGGAAAGAGACCGGGGATAAGAGAGGGGTTTTCTTTATCTATGATGACAATAAGTCTCTGAGGATGGTGAGCAACTCATACAAATAACAATTTGAGGGCCAGGTGGGATGTTCCCTAAACAACAGTGATGTTTCCAGAATATGGATACTACTGCTCCCTTTTTCAGGATGACAGAAAACAATGCATACTGCTTTATCTCCCATATTTTGAGGGAAAACAATTTTAATGTGACTATCATGGAGTATCATATGATGAATCACTTTCTGTTACACTATACAAGTACATACATTCACCCTTGTTTTTATTTCATTGATTTTATGAGGGTTTGAAAGAATGAATTCAAAGATGAGGAATCAGTGATTTCATCACTGAGCAATACCGGGGCACAGCATTGTGATATTCCTATATTGGGGAAAGGAGAAGAAGGATTGTAGTGTTCCCTGCCACCATTACCAAGAATTTCAGAGGCTGCAGTATCTTCATCCTGTCCCCAATTACCAGCAATGGAAGATAAGTTATTTTGTGTTAGAATTATTGCTTTTCTGTTCAATTAACTAAACACATCTGGAGGGTCATAGTCATGTACCACCCAGACACCAAATCAAGCCATGTCCTCCGACTGAGCAGAAAGCACCAATATACTACAATCATGTCAACATATGGAGAATATTGTATTTTTCTGATGATGAGCTCCACGTCAGAATAGTAGCCTTTGACACCCAACTTGGAAAGAATGCTTCTGATTCCAAGAGAACTGATTCTGTTTTACTCCATGAAGGAGAATTAAGCAAACTGACAATTTGTCTGAATTTCCCAAAATCTTACCCTCTAAACTATCTTTGCCATGAGTTAAGTTGAACTTTTTATGTACCAATTTCAGGTACATCTATGCATTCTGAGAACATGGGTCTATAATGACAAACCAAGGTTACACAGAGAGGTGATGAAATAAAAATCATTCTACATGATAGGAAAGTAATGGGGGCCTAGTCTCTTCTGACCTTTCTCATAGTCCAATACACAGGCCCTCATTACCTTAACAGCCACTTGTTGTAACACTCTACACATGTCTAGGTTTCCAGGAACAAGCAAGAAACACATGTCCCATCTTATCTGCTGACTTTCAGTGATCCTGGTTGTCAACTTGGTGCCACAGAGATGAGACTTTCAGAGAAGTGGAAAGAAATGCCCACAGTCCAGGCTCTCTCTGGGTCCTGTGCCTTCACCTACTAATACAGCTGACCTTCTGAGTCATTTAATAACATTTGCAATACAGCATTCATGTGCTACCTTCCTATTGAAAAAAACCAGTACCTAAGCCCCAGATTCCAGGATGGACACTGGCATCATGACCAAATGAGATGCGTTTCTGTCCCTTGGAATTAAGGAATTTTTTCCTGTCACCCACATATCAAAAATATTAGGCAATGCAAGAGGGTGCATCATGTGATGCACACGCATTGCACCCTCAAATACACAGACTCAATATCATCTGGAGACCAGCTCATCACACATCAGGTGCATGGTATATATATATATAAAGGATTCCCTGGCTTTTATTATAATGAATGACCATAAAACTTGAACAAGAATCCTAAGAAGAAGGTCCTTGGGAAATAAATACCCTTGAGGTTAAGCATTCTGCTCTGGTGAGTTGAAGTAATTTTCAGATGCTAATGTTTTAGTGCTATGCAATAAACAGCAGATGGCAGTCTTGGACCTTGTCAGGAACATGGCAAAGATCAGAACCTGAAATAATTTCAGTAGCTGTGTATCGTGTTTTTCCAATATTACATGGTCTGATTCTAGGAATGAAGGCACAGAAGGCAAGGTTGAATCAACTAAAGGATTAAATTTACCTTGGGGCACCAGACAGGTAGCCACCACTAAAAGTTTTCATTTCCTCAACTCTCTCATTGATTGGCAATTGACCCTAATTATTCTGCTAGTGTTAATGGTGTGATCAGACACCTGAATGTTTGTACTTCAGGTATTTTACCACATGTGTATTTAATGAAGAAAACATAGCACTCACACATAATATAGTTTGCAAATAGATACAACTCTGACTTGTACGAAACACTACACTCAGATTCATGCATCTGCAGAACTCTCCCATGGCAAACAGAGAGATAGGTAGTTGCAAACAGGCCTTTTAGTTGGAAGCAGACACACTCAGTTTCTCAAGTGTAACACCTAGGAAATGCAAACCCTATATTCAGAATCATTGAGATCTATCCAAATGAAGATCAAACAACATTTTTTAAGTTTCTCTGAGATACTAAGAAAGGAAGTCTTTAGGAGTGTTGGCATGTGATGAATGGATACCTGTACCTAAAAAATGTTTAAAGAAAATGAAACTGAATAAAGAAACTTGTCCTAGCATAGTGGTTAAATACACAGTTCTCACACAGAAACCATCAATTAAATTCAAGGTTGCAGTGTGCTCCTCATGTTCTTATAGAAAATGCCTTTCTTTCAGAGAAAAGAAGTTTACCATCTCATTTACAAGTGCAGCTGCCAGATATTCTGGAAAATATCTATGTTTGGAAGGGGATCTGAAACACCTTTGCTGTGTAAGATTTCAGCACTACCCGAAGGAATAAAACTCATGACTATACTTGCCAAAGAAGTTTTGCCTTTCCAGAATTATCTTAATAATGACATAAATATCAAAAAGAACACCTGAGATCCTTTCTCTGAAGACATTCTCATTATGAGCTTACATCCAGGTATAGAAGAATTCAAAACTTACATCTTTCGCATAGATGTCGTAACATGTCTGTGTTTGAGAACTACTTTCTCTACCAGTCATGCTAGACTTAGCAGTCAGGATACAATTCCATCCATGACATAATTTCATTCCTATTTTCTTGCACTTTGAAGTTGCATTGTGCTTTTCCCCTCCTGGCAGGATGAGGTAAGCATTGAATCCTATTTTGTTGTGTAGGTACTTCTTTCTATGACTGGTGATTTCAAACCTCGGGATATATGACTTCAGAGGTCCAAGGATATATTGGCTATGATTTTCCTGTCTAGGCACTCAGGTTCTGATTCGTGAAATATGAATCACATTTATCCCATTTCAACCCATTTTTATTCAAGTTCACATACCATGGAATTCCATTTTCAAGTCACCTAAAAGGTCACCAAATTGCCTATATCCCTCTGCGCTTTATCAAAGAAAAGAACCCAGTTGTGTGAAAGGCATTGTAAAGTCTCCTTTAACCACCTCAGTCTCAAGTTTCTGCTCTAAGGTAAGTTAGACTTCTTATATCTCAATTCCTCTCTTGTTTTCTTACGTCATTCTTCTTAAAACTCATCATAAGCCCATTTCTTAGCATCTGTTGCTGCTACAGAATTCTGAGAAATACAAAGGGGATCATTCCCTATGAATAGCCTGGGAGAATGGAGAATACACATCATTATTCATTTTTTTCTGATTGATCTAGTTGTGATACCTGACAATGTATTCTCAGAGTTTTCAATAACTTATTTATTTGCTTGTTTATCTGGGAAAGCATTCAAAACTTCTATTTAAGCATTTAAATCATGTGGTAAACTTTTACTTTACTTTTTCACAAAGTATGAGTATAAGGTTAAATTCAGGTGTCCCATGATCAGATATATTAGTAAAAATTACGATGTCTACTTAGGGAGAACCTCAAGTGAACTTTTGGAAATTTAGAGGAGTATTAAATTTGGTAATTTAGCATAGAAAGACGTCATCCAGGGAGAAAAACACAACAAAAGGCCTTCTCTTAAAGTGCTTCTGATATTACGGTAGGCATTACTTATCATATACAAACCCATGAATTGATGGCATTTGATTACACACTGCATGATTCTACAAAGTTTTGACTGTTACCTGACAAATGCAAAATCCATACTGGATTGTGAAGCACAGGACAAATTCAGTGGTTAATGTGGGAGATCATCATGTAAACAGGGGAGATCAGGAGGAGGAGGAAGAAAAATATAGTAAGAATATCATTGATCGATGATGGGAACAAGGCTCTGAGGATGGCGATTGACTAATGACTATGCCAATCTTAGTTCCAGATGGGAAGTCTTATTTACAACACTGATGTTTTGCAAGTGTGTCTGGTACACTTCTCATTTGAAGTGTAACAGGTATCAGTGTAGACTGGCTTTGTCAACACAAATTTAAGGGAAATATTTCTTTGTAGTGCAAATATTTTGTATTATTTGATACATGATATTGTGTAATACTAACTATAACACTAACAGCAACCAACTTACATCCACGTTTTTAAGCCATTGACTGATGCCAACTTCTCAGAAAGAAATAAAAGTTGTGGAAGCAGTGAAATCATCACTGAGCATCACACAGTCCCGGTCCTGTGACATTCCTATATAGTGGAAAGGAGATGAATAATATGTAGGAATCCTGCCAACATTACCGAGAATTTTGTAGCATGCAGTCTATTCTTCTTGTCCCCAATTACCAGCAAAGGGAGATAATTTACTATGTTGTGAGAATCATTGCTTTTCAGTACATTAAACTAAATAAATCTGGATGGCAATGGTCATCTCACCATCCAGACAGCACATTAATTCAATTACACATTCTGACTGAATCAGCACCAACATCTTACTATCATGGTAACATATGGATTATATTGTACTTGTTTGATGATGCGGCATAAGTCACAAGAGTAGTATTTGACAACCGACTTGTAAAGAATGATGTTAAGGTTTTTTATAACATGTTTGTTTAGTGAGGAGCATGTTCCATTCAGAAACCTCATAGATAACAAACAGATACAATTCCAACTTGCGCCAAGCACGTCACTAAGATCCATGCCTCCTCAAAACACTCCAATGAGAACAGCAAGAGCTAGGTAGTTGCACACAGACCTTAGAGACAGAAACAGAAATGCTCAAGTTCTCAAGTGCTCCGCTGATGAACCACAAACGCTGTACTCAGAATCATTGTGATCCATGCAAATGAAGATCAAACAGCATTTTTTTATTTCCCTGAGATACCATAAAATGAAGTCTGTAAGAGTTCTCACATATATTGAATGGATACCTGTATCCAAAAATGTTTAATGAAAATGAAACTAATTAGAGAAACTGGTCCTAGCATAGTGGTAATGTACCCAGTTCTCACACAGAATCTATGAAGGGAATTCTAGGTTGCTGGAAATATCAGTGTTAGGAAGGGCATCTAAAAACTGTTGCTATGTAAGGAATGAATCCTCCCCCAAGCAATAAAACCCATGATTGTACACAACAAAGTACTTTTGCCTTTCCTGGATTATCGTAATATTGACATAAATATCAGAAAGAACATCTGATATTCTTTCACTGAACACATTCTCATTATGATCTTACATCCTGGTATAGAAGAATTCACAACTAACTTCTTTGGTATACATGCCATAACCGGTCTGTATTTGAGAACCACCTCTTCAACCAGTTCATGGTAGGACACAATTCCATCTGTGACATTTTTTCATTTCTCTTTTGTTGCAAGTTGGAATTGCAAAGGCCTTTCACACTTCAGGCAGGAGAGGTAAGCATTGAATCATATTATGTTGTGTAGTTACCTGCTTATTATGACAGGTGATGTAAAAGATGGGATCTATGACTTCACATGTCCAAGGAAATTTTTGCTACCATTTTCGTGAATTGCAATATATTTTGATCCGTGCAATGTAGAGCACATTTATTCCATTTCAGCCCACTGGCATTCAAGTTCACACAGCATGGAATTGTTTTGTTAATTCACTAAAAGGTCACCAAATATTCCTTATTCCTCTATGGTTGTTTAATGTGAAGACCCCGGTTGTGGGAAAATCATTTTGTAAAATCTCCTTTAACCACCTCAATCTCATTTTTTCTTCTATTAGGTAAATTAGACATCTTATATCTAAATGCTTCTCATGTTTTCCTACTTCATTCGTCTTAAAACTTGGTTACTCAGAAGCCCATTTTCCCCATCTGTTGCTACTCCACAATTGTGAGAAATACAAGGGGTACCATTCACTATGAATTGCCACTGAGATTGGAGAACAGACATTAATATTAAACTTTTCTCATTTTTCTGGCTGTGACCTCTGACAATGTAATCTCAGAGTTTTCACTATATGATATCTTTGCCTGTTTTTTATGGGAAAGCATTCAAAACTAATATTCAAGCCATGTGTAAACATGTTACTGCCCTTTTTCACAAAACTAGAGCATAGGGTTAACCTCAGGAGGCACATGACAAGACTTATTAGTGAGAAGTAATGTAAAAAATGAACTTTTCTATTTAGGGAGACTTACAATTGAACTTTTGGAAATGTAGAGGAGTATAAATAGTGGTAGTTATCATAGAAAGACCCCATTGAGACAGAAACACCCACACCAAAAGCCTGCACTTAAAATGCTTCTGATATAACTGTAGGCACTACTTATCATGTACACACTGAGGAAGTGATGGCATTTGAATACACACTGCATGATTCTAAAAGGTTTTGACTGTTACCTGACAAAATAGAAAATCCGTATTGGATTGTGAATCACAGCACATATTCATTGATTATGTGTGGAGATGAGGATGAAATCATAGGGGAGATCAGGAAGAGGAGGAAGAAAAATGTAGTAAGCATATCATGGTAAATATATTTTCATAAAATCCAAAAAATGGAATGCCCCTTAAAATTTATAGAGGATGACCTTTGTCATTTTTGATGTGTTCTTTTTCTTAGTAATTTATCCACTTCAGTTCACAAATTGAGCCCATCAAGCTCAGTGAAATTTTCCCTTTTTAATAATTAATTCTGGCATATTGAACATTGATAACTTTTCAATGTGTATATGGTTTATGCGGAAGGAGACCATTCTATATGTGGTTCAGTAAGTTAGATCAGAAGCTGAGCAACAAGCCAGCTGCACAGTCCTTACCATCCATTTCAAAGTCAATGTGAGTAGCTCTTCCTGCAGCATTGGAGAGACTCATGTGTTAAGAGAGGGCTTGCCTGAGTCATTGATGAGAACAAGTCTCTGAAGGCGGGGATTGACTCATACAAATGTCAATAAGAGGTCCAGAAAACTGGTCACCTTGACAACAGTGATGTTTCCAAATATGACTAGTACTTTTCTGTTTTGAAGGATGACAGTTTATTGTAAAGATAAACACCACACTTGATGAGGGTACAAGTAATGTTTTTTTGTGGCAAGCACATACAATAGAAAACTGGCAACCAAGGTAAATATGGGATTTGATGTATCGTATACATATATTAGATGAGTTCTATATCTGATGTTTTCCTCTAATTGGAGAACAATGAGGTTAATTTTGTTCCATCATAAACAAATTCTGCAACCTCAAAGTGTAAGATAACTCTCTTTATATTGAGAATATACAACTAAATTGAGAGGCTGTGTAAAGCTTTTAAATACAATGAGAATGATGTATAGCTCTGCCCTATATACAGAACTGTAAGCACATTGAACTACTTTACTTATATTTCGTGGTTTCTTATTTGCCTTACTTGATTTTTTGCATCAGTGTAGAATGAAAGAACTCCAAAAATAGGTATTTTCTCAACATATGCAGAAGAATCCAAATTGTTTATTTATGAATTTGATTCTCTCTGTTTTGGTATTATTGTTACTATTTTCCCCCAAAAGTTACTGCAGGCTGTCAGCCTTTATTCATTATCCTTCCATTAGGAGAAAATTTCTTCATTACTTTAAGATACAATAATATTGGCTGGGTCTCTTCCAGTAAGTTGAAAAAGCCTTAACTTATCTTTTAATATCACATCAGAGAACATTTCTTTATACATTACTAGTTTTTAATTCTGTTTATGTGGAAGGAATACCCATTCAAGTATGCTTTCCTTCCTGTGCATTAACATTCCTGTGCAGCATTGTCTAGATGGTAAAATAACCAGAATGCACATGGTCCAAATGTGTTTCTAGTATTTGTTTATAACACATTCTCATTCTTTTCAGCCTCAGCAGATAGTATTCTTCAACTAATTAGGTCTTTGTCTCAATTTAAGGCCATATTCGGGTGTTTTAAATCATGCATTTCTCTGATAATTGTCTGTGGTTGAACGATTTCTCCAAGTAGTTTTCGAAGATCATTAAGAGTCTTGTAACGATCTCTTCTGATCTGTATTTTCAGCAGTCTAATTTTCTGTGAGTCCATTTCATAACCTAAATAATTAATGGTATGTCCTCATTATATTTTTGTGGTAATTTTTCATCCCCAGTGAGGCAAAGTTTACTTTACTGCTTCTAACATCTTTTCCAAAGTACATTAATTTGAATCAGACAGTAATATGTCATCCATATAATGATATATTAACTTGTTTATGAATGATTTCCAAAGGTTTTGCACAAAATACTGGAAGAAAGTCAGGCTATTTAACATTCCTTTTGCAACACCTTCCACAGAAATCTCTCCACTGGTTTAGAATTGTCATAGGTAGGTACTGTGAAGAAAACTTTTCTCTGTTTATCTTGTAGTGATATAATAAAGAAGCAATCTTTTCAATCTATAACTACAATTGTCCAATCCTTGGATATTAGAAAAGGTAGTTGTAACCCAGGATTTCGAGTGCCCATAGGCTTAATTACCAGGATGATAGCTTTCATATAAGTATCCACTTTCCAAATCCTAGACTTTTTTGATAACAAATACAGGTTAATTCCATGGACTATTACATTCTTCTGTATGTACAGCATTTAGCAATCCTGAAAGAACTCAGCAAGGAGCTAGTCATTTTCATGAATTATCCTTATATTAACATAAAAACCACAAACAACATCTGCCATTATTTCTCTTAATACATTCTCCATAAAATCTTAAGTCAGGTATAGAAGAAGTAACAACAATCAAAACTTTGCTATAGAAGATATATCCTGTCTGTGTTTGACGACCACTGCAATTCAGGCTAGAAATAAGAGTCAGGATACAATTACATCAGTGATATTTTTTACTTCTAATTAGTTGCAGGTGGGAATTTCAATGTCCTCTTCACATTCAGGTGGGAGAGGCAAGCATTGAATCCTAGTCTGTTGTGCAGGTCCCTCCATACAATGACAGGAGATTTCAGAACCACAGGATCTATAACATGAGTGGACCAAAAATAAATTTTCTGTGATGTCACTGACTTGGCACTTATGTTTTGATTCATAGAATGTTGATCACATCTATCCCTTTCAGTCGATTGGTATTCAAATTACAGAGTCTAGAATTCCCTTGTCAAGTCACCGAAATGTTCAACAAATATTACTGATCCCTCTGTACTTTTTCATTGAAAAGACTCCAGTTATGTGGATGTCATTTTGTAAAACTATTGTAACCACCACAATCTAACATTTTCTGCTTTTAGGTAATTAAGACATTTGAAATCATACTGCTTCTCCTGGAAACAACCCAGATGCCCCTCAACTGATGAGAAGATAGAGAAAATGTGACAGGCAAAGAAAACAGATATTGCAATCTCTAAGAGTACATTGTCAGTGTGCATAGCCATTTGAATAAAAAATGTCGATTATTAATGTGTATTCTCTGTTCTCCTTGGCTATTCATAGCAAATAGTTCAGAATTCTGGATCAGGAACAGATGCATATAAATGGGCATTTGAGGTGCTGAGATTGCCATCATTTGTCTGCGAATTTCAAGATTCCATTTTTTTCTACTGAATAATACTCAATTGTGCGAATGTACAGCATTTTCTCTATCTTCTCATCAGTTGAGGGGCATCAGGGTTGTTTCCAGGTTTTGGCAATTACAAATATGCTATTATGAACATAGTGGTACTGATGTCCTTGTTGTGTGAATTTAAATCTTTTGGATAAATGCCATTGAGTGGAATTCCTAGGTCCTGTGGTAGACTGATTCCCATTTTCCTGAGGGATGTACATACTGATTTCCAAAATGGGTGTATGAATTGTTACTCCCACAAACAGTGGCAGTGTGTCCCTCTCTTCACATCCTCTCTGGCATAAATGGTACTACTGTGTTGTATTCAGGAAGCAGTTTCATGTACCAATTCATTGAAGAGTATCTCCTAATTTCTCTTCGAAGAGTTTCAGTTTGGTTGGATTTAGGTTTACATCTTTGATCCTTTTGGACATAAGTTTTGAACAATGTGTTACACATGGATCTATCTGCAGTCTTCTGCATGCCTATATACAGTTATGCCAGTATCGTTTGTTGAAGATGGTTTATTTTTTCCAATGTACAATTTTCATTTTTTTTATCAAAAATCCAGTGATTATCAGGAATGGGCATTCGAGCTGGTCTCTCCACTATTACTTAGCTTGCCAATTGGTGTTATCCCTTTAGATCACTAGAGGTAACTCTGGTGCCTGATCTGTCTTCTAACCTATGATTCCCTCTTCCCCCTATTCTACCCCCACCCACTCAACTTCCTGTTCCCCCATGAACTACTCTCTCTTTCTCTTCTTGAACTTGATGTCTATAACCATCTGGGAACCTTTATCCAGTGACTGATGGAAGCAGAGGCAAACACACAATTAAAAACTTAACTGAACCCAAGGAACCCAGGGGCAGAGAGAGAGGAGTGATGAGCAAATTGGCAAAGAATGGGCTGGCAAAACCAGCAGAGACAGCTGATCTGAACAAGGGAGATCTCTTGGACCCCAGACTGACAGCGGGGAGGCTAACATGGGACTGATCTGGACCCCCCCCTAATGTGAGTGTCAGTGAGAAGGCCTGGGCAAGCTATGGGGCCTTGAGCAGTGGATCAGTGTCTATCCCTGGAATACAAACAGTCATCGTGTGCCCATAGCACAAAGAGGGATGCTCTCTCAGCCTGGACTCTTAGGGGAATGCCTAGACCCTACCCAGAGTGAAATGACAGAGTCTAGATATCCCCTATGTGGAAGGAATTGGCAATAGGGTGGGAGGCTGGGGGGGGGGAAGGGGAATGCGGGAGGCGGGGAGGTGGAGGGAACTGGGATTGGCATGTAAAACAAGCTATTTAAAATTAAAATAAAAATGATTTAAAAAATCCAGTGATTATAGGTTTGTGGATCAATGTCAGGATGTTCAATTCGATTACATTGTTCTACCTGTCTATTTTTCTAATAATACCATGATGCCTTCAAGACTATAGTTCTGGAATAGACCTTGAAGTTAGGGATGGTGATGCCTCATGAAATTCCTTTATTGTACATGGTGGTTTAGGCTATCCCAGATCAATTTATCCCATTTCTTTCCACTAGCATTCTAGGTCACATAGTGTGGAATTCCTTGTGAAGTCACCGATGTAGTCACCAAATATTATTAGTCATTCTGTGCTTCTTAATTCAAAAGACCTCAGCTGTTTCAGTGGCATCTTGTAATATCTCTTTTAGGAATCTCAATCATAATCTTTCAGTTCCAATGTAAACATGCTATCATAAATATTAATGCATCCTAAGAATTCCTAGTTTAATATTCAAAATTTTCTGATTTACATGTCTGTCAACTCTTACCATGTTGTCTCAGAGTTTTCATGATTTATTTTGTTTGCCTGTTAAAGGGGTTACTCTAAGTATACTTTGTATAGAAAAGCACTCAAACATGTATTTAACCTTTAAAGAATGAGATAACATTTTACTGTACTTCTTCAGAAAATTGGTATATAATGTGAACCTCAGGAGGCTCATGATCAGACAAGTTATCAAGATTTAATGTTGCAAAAAATTATGCTCCTTTTGTACCCTGGGGAATGTCCACTATTCAGGCAAAGGACTCAAGGGGGATCATTAGGATTCTTTTCTGGGGATCATAAGGCAGATGGAAACTCACAGTGTTAATGTGCACTAATGGACATATTAGTAAGGCACCAGCAGATACCATTTAATTTTCTTAGGTGGTGCTTTGCAATTAATAATCTTGAAGGTATATATACCACAATGGTGGTTAGGCATAAATGTCACAGGAAAATGATGTAGCAGTGCACAAAGATCAGCAGATGAGTCTTCTTGGACCTTGTAAGACACAATATATGAACACATGCTAAAATGTTTTCAGCAGACCTTTAATTGCCTTCCCAATGCTCCCAAGTTACTGCAATGAATGCAAACTTTGACGATGATGGTGGAACAAGTGAATGGTTAAAATTGTTTAGAGATGCAAACAGGTAAACAAAATAAAAATTTGTCATTATCTCCCCCATGGTATTGAATAGTAATTGTCCCCAATTATCATGATTGAGACATTGGTCTTTCAGAAGCTGTGCGTTGCAATTCTGCTGCCACTAACTTACAACTATTAGCGTGACAAATTTTTCCTTGACTAAGAAAATTGATTCCGCTTGATCCCTTACAGGAATCTACTGTTGGCTGAACTTTTGTCTGAAGATTTCAGAGATATACCTGCTGGGTGGTCTTCATCAGACTGGTAAGTAGCACTGTTTGTGCCCTAATAACAGGTATAGCTACAAGTTATGAGAATGCAGAACTATGATGACAAACCAATGTCATGAAGAGAGTTGATGACATAAAAACCATGCACACGAGGCCTATGTTGAGGCACAGGCTAAAGGACAGGATAGAAAGGAGGGCCTAATCTACTCAAGTATTTATCACAGGCCAGTGCACAGGCCCAAATTCTCCCAGCAGTGTTTCCCTGTCTAGGGAATCCTGTGAGGTCCAGGTGCTCTTTATTAGTAGAGCACTGAGACTGCTTCAGAATGCACTTGTTGGGGCAACCTATGTATGTTAATGCTGGCTGGTATCAGCATTCTGCTCATTTACATATCTTCTATCTCCATTTCATTGATCAAGAATGCAGATTTGGTGCCCCAGTCATTTCACCTTCAGGTAAGTGGAAAGATGAGGTTAAATTCTTCAGAATATTTTGAATCTCTGTCTTCCAATATTATAAAGCCTGACATTCTATGAATCCAGTGACACATAAAGCACAGAACTTGTGCTCTCCCTTCCCCTAGGCATAAAATGATTAAAGGATGGTATTTCAAATTGCCTTGTCTTGTAGAATTAAAAGTAGTAGGTATTGGAAACAGAACAATGACTATTGGGGGAAGTGGGACACAATGATTGGTTCAGGACATTCAGGCCCTGAATGTTGCCCAGCTCAGTATAGCTGAATGTGAACTTGAAATTCCTGACTTTGGGTGTCTTTCTACCTCCCTTGCTGATTGATACAGAGCGGGCAGGTGCTTCATGTTCTTGCTGAGTCAGGAGGGTGATATGCTCCAAACTTCCAAAGATGGCACTTAAGAATATCCACCTTGCAGGCCATCAACTGAGAGAGACTAATTGGTTACTCCTCTGTGGCTCATAAAGTAGACGGAAACTCACAAAGTTCTAGTGCACTAATGAACATATCAGTTAGGCAAACTCAGATTCCTTTTCCTTTCTTTAAGTTTAATGAACTTGCCTTTCCATGCAGGCATCAGGAAATTGGGCAGTGCTTGGGAAATTAAGAATTCTCAGCATACCCATCTTACTATAGTTATTAGGCAGTCATTTAAAAAGGAAATGGTATAGTGCTGTGCAAATTACAGCAGATGACAGGTTGGACCTTTTATGACACAGTGCATGATCAGATGCTAAAATGCTTTCAACAGATCTATAATATGCCTTCCAAATGATCAGTAAGCTAATGCTATGAATTCAGGCAGTGTGGATGAAGTTGAAACAAGTGAAGGGTTAAACTTGTATAGGGATGGCTAACAGGTAAACCAATATTAAAATTTTTCATTATCTCCTCCATGGATTTGATTACCAAATGCCCCCAATTATCATGCTCGAGTGTTTGGACCTTCAGAAACTGTGAGTTCAAATTCCACTGACACTGATATAATATTTTAGCATTGAAAAATTATCCTTTAACGAGAGAACAGATTCTGCTTGATACATTGCAGGAGTCTAATGCCCACTGACAATTTTTCTGAAGATCACAGAGACCTAAATACTACATGGTATTTTTCATCTAAGTAAGCAGCACTATTTGTGTTCTACTATCAGTTATAGCTATCCCTTCTGAGGACACAGGTCTTTAGTGACAAACGAATGATAGGAAGAGAAGTGATATAAAAACCATTATTAAAATTGTTATTCTGAAGCCCAGGCTAATGGACTGGTGAGAAAGTGGGGCGTAGTATCCTCATGCCTTTATAGTGGTGCAGTACACAGGCCCCTCATTCACCCAGCATTGTTTCCCTGTCTGGGGAATCATGTGAGTTTCTTGTAATCTTCTTAGAGGAGCACTCAGCCTGCCTAAGAAGGCACTATAGCAGGAAAGCTATGTATGTCAATTCAGGCAAGCCTTAGTGATCTACTAATGTCAATCTCTTTATTCTGCATTTCAGTGTTCCAGGATGCAGACTTCGTGCCCTAATCATTTCACATTCAGGTAAGTGTGTAAAGATCAACAGGTATTCTCTCCCTTTGCCTAGATTCACAGGCTTATAATCCTATGGAGACCCACTCACTACACACCAGTGGCCTGGAATTTCACACACATGCATGACATCCCAAGTTCCCAGGTATTCCATGGCATTTGTGAAATGGAATGGGCCAAGATTCAGGTGTAGGTATTCAGGTGTAGTGCTTTGGCAATAAATAACCTTGAGGATAAGAATCTTACGATGGTGATGAGGAAGTGATTTCAATGAGATTGGGATAGGGATGTTTATACAACATCAGAGGAGAGGTTGGACAATTTATGACACAGTGCATGATCAGATGCTAAAATGTTTCCACCAGACCTATAGCACGCCTTCACAATTGTCTGTCACCAAATCTATGAATGCAGTTAGTGATGATGAATGTGAAACAAGTGAAGGTTTAAACTTGTCTAAGGGTGGCAAACAGGAAACCACTATTATAATGTTTCATTATCTCCCCCATGGCCGAGATTAGCAATTGCCACTAATTATAGTGCTGGAGAGTTTGGGTGTTCCAAAGTATGGGATTGTGATTCTACTGAAAGTAACCTCCCATTTTGGCACCCCAAATCTTTCCTTGACTAAGAAGACTAAATCTGTTTGATCCCTTTCAGGAGACTAATGCCAGCAAACCATTTGCCGGAAGCTCACCAAGATCTACCTGCTGGATGGTCTTTGTCATCCTGGTAAGCAGTACAGTTTGTGTGCCACTATCAGGTATACCTATGCCTTCTGAGGACACGGGTCTATGATGACAAACCAATGTCATGAAGAGAGGTGATGACATAAAAATCATGCTCACTTGGATTACGCTGAGGCCCAGGCTAAAGGACAAAGGGAGAAATGAGGGTCATGTATCATCTGGCTTTTATCATAGTGCAGTACACAGGCCCTCATTCACCCAGCATTGGTTCCCTATCTGGTATAGGTGCTCTTCTTTAGATGAGCACTCAGACTGCCTCAGAAGGCACTTTTTGAAGCACACTATATATATCAAGGCTGCCAGGCATAAGCACTCTACTCACATCATTCTATTCCCTTCTGCATTTCAGTGATCCAGCATCCTGATTATTCGCCCCAGTCATGAGCTATTCAGGTAAGAGGCATGATCCTGCTAAGTGCCTTCATCTCTTTTGGATCTCTGCCTTCAAGTATTAAAATCCATGACCTTCTCAGATTCCTGTGATACTTGGGGCACAGAACTTGTGCTCTTGCTTCCTTTTATGGAACCTGAAGTTCTAAGCCCAGGAGACAAAAACGGTAATTTGCTCTGCCTTGTCATGTATAATTCCAACTAATAGGTATTAGGAATCAGAGCTGTGACTGTTGGCGGAGGTGGGACACAAGGATTGAGTCAAATTTTGATTTCCCAAATTTTTTCTTGACCACGAAAACTGATTCTGCATGATCATTTGAAGGAACCTAAAGCTGCCTGACCATTTGCCCGAAGTTCACTGAGACCTACCTTCTAGATAGTCTTTGTCATCCTGAAAGCAGCACTGTTTTTCCCCCTATCAGGTATAGCTATGCCTTCTGAGGACCCAGGAATCTGATGACAATGAATGTCACTAAGAGAGGTGATGACATAAAAATCATACTCAATAACATGACACAGAGTCACAGGGTAAATAACAGGGAAGAAATGTGGGCCTAGTCTTCTCAGGTCGTTCTCATAGGCAAATTAACAAGCCCTCCTTCACACAGCATTGTTTCCCTTTGTGGGGAATACAGTGAGGTCTAGGTTCTGTTCTTTAGCAAAGCATTGATCCTGCCTCAAAAGGCACTTGTTGGCACAAACTCTAGATGTCAAAGTTGCAAGGCATAAGCACTCTGCTCATGTCCATCTTTTTCTTCTACATTTCAGTTATCCTGGATGCACACTTGGTGCCCCAGTCATTTCATCTTCAAGTAACTGGAACGATCATATTAAGTGCTTCATATCTTTTCTATCCCTGAATTCAAACATTAGAAAGCATGAAATTCTTGGAAATCAGTGACAGTTAAGGCAATGAACTTGTGGTCTCCCTTCCTTTGGGAGTTCCCTAGGACTAAGCCTATGAGAAAAGACCGTTGATCGAAACTGCCTTGTTTTGTAGAATTCCAAGTAGTAGATACTGGGAAACAGAGCAGTGATTGTTCAGGGAGGTGTGACACATTGATTGGGTCCAGACATTCAGGCCCTGTCCATTGCACAGCTCAGTGATTGCTGAATATGATTTTGAAATCCCTGCCTTGGGGTGTCTTTCTATCTACCTTGTTGATTGTTACTGCTGAGAAAGAGCCTCATGTTTTCAGTAGGAAAATCACTGATCTACTGCCCAGTGCGAAATTGGTTGCCCAGGAATTCTCACTGAATCTTACACCTAGTGGGTATGATAAGTCCCATTCTGGCCTCCCAGCTGTCAGTGTGGGGTCCAAGCTTACCGCCTTGTTCAGATTAGCTGTCTCTGCTGGTTTTGCCAGCCCATTTTTTGCGAATTTGCTTATTGTTCCTTTCTCCCTGTAACTCAGTTCCACAGTTTCCGTTCAGTGTTTAACTGTGGATATTTGCCTCTGCTTCCATCAGTAACTGAATGAAGGTGATAGGATGGCATATAAGATGCATGTCAAGTTCATTATCAGTAATGGACATTTAAGGTTGTCTCTCCACTATCACTTTGCTTGCCTGTTTGTGTCACCCTTTTAGATCGCTAGTGTTTTCACTGGTGCCAAATCGCTCTTCAAACTTATGACTCCATCTATTATTGTATTTCTAATCCTGTTATCCTCTACTTTACCCCACTCTCAGCCTTCCTTTTCCCAATTACCAACTCTTTCTTACTCTTCTCAGACTTTCTCTTCTTCAAATCTCCCACTCCTCCCCATCTTCTGCCATGTTCCCAAACTGTTCAGGAGATCTTGCCTCATTCCTCTTCTCTGGTGTACCATGCATATCTCCTTAGTTTCTTTTCTGTTTCACACACTCTCCGTAAGTGGAATTGCAGACTGACTTTTTCCTGATACATATCTAAAACCCATATATGATTGAGTATATATCGTGTTTGTCTTTTTGAGATTGGGTTACATAAATCAGGATAGTTTCTTCTATTGCCATCATTTGCCTGCCAATGTCAAGGTTCCACCGTTTTTTTCTGCTGAGTTGCATTTCATTGTGTGAATGTACAGCATTTTCTCTATCCTCTCCTCAGTTGAGGGGCATCTAGGTTGTTTCCAGGTTCTGGCAATCACAAATATGCTATTATGAACATAGTGGTACTGTTGTCCTTATTGTGTGAATTTGAAGCTTTTGTTTATATGCCTAACGGTGGCATTCCTGTATCTTGTGGTAGACTGAATCCCCTTTTCCTGAGGAATCTCCATACTGATTTCCAAAGTGGGTGTATGAATTGGCACTCACACCAGCAGTGGCAGTGTGTGCCCCTCTCTTCACATCCTCTCCAGCATACATTGTACTACTGTGTTATATTCAGGAAATTGTCTCCTGTATGAATTCATTGGTCTCCCAAATGCTCTTCAAAGAGTTTCAATGTGGTTGGATTTATGTTTATATCTTTGATCCTTTTGGACTTAAATTTTGTGCAAGGTGATACAAATTGATCTATCTGCAGACTCCTGAATGCCTAAATGCAGTTATGCCAGTATTGTTTGTTGAAGATGGTTTAATGTTTCCATTGTATAATTTTAGCTTCTTTATTAAAAATCAGGTGATTATATGTTTGTGGATTAATCTCAGGTTGTTCAATTCGATTACATTATTCTTCCTGTAAATTTTACAGCTGATACCATGATATTTCCAAGACTATAGCTCTGTAATAGAGATTGAAGTTAGGGATGGTGATGCCTCATGAAATTCTCTCATTTATATGGTTATTGTAGGTATCCTGGATCTATTTATCCCATTTCTTTCCACTAGCATTTTGCATAACATAGATTGGAATTGCTTGTGAAATCACTGATGTAGTATGCCTTCTGAGGTCACAGGAATATGGTTATAAATGAATGTCTCTAAGAGAGTTGATGACACAAAAATTCATACTCAATAACATTACACTGAATCCCAGTGTCAAGAATAGGGAAGAAATTTGGGTATAGTCTCCTCAGGTCGTTCTCATAGGAAAGTGCACAAGCCCTTATTGACCCAGCATTGTTTCCCTTTGTGGGGAATCCTGTGTGGTCTAGGTGCTCTTCTTTAGGAAAGCAACGAGCTTGCATCAGAAGGAACTTGTTGGGAAAAAATATATGTCAGTACTGCAAGGCATAAGCACTCTGCTCATGGCTATCTCATCTCTTTTCTTCAGCATTTCAGTTATCCAGGATACAGACCTTATGCCTCAAGTCATTTCACCTTCAGGTAAGTGGAAACATCAGGTTAAGTGCCTCATAATCTTTTTGATCCTTGCCTTCAAACATTAGAAAGCATGAAATGATAGGAAACCAGTGACAGGTAAGGCAATGAAATTGTGCTCTTCCTTCCTTTTGGAAATTCCCTAGGACAAAGCCCATGAGAAAAGACTGTTGATCAAAATTGCCTTGTTTTGTAGAATTCCAAGTAATAGATACTGGGAAACAGAGCAGTGACTGTTCAGGAAGGTGGGACACAAGGATTGGATCTGAAAAATTCAGGCCTTCTCCCTTGCACAGCTCAGTGATAGCGGAATGAGATCCTGAAATCCATGCCTTGTGGTAACTTTCTACCTACCTTGCTGATTGTCACTGCCGAGAAAGAGCTTCATGTACTCTTTGTGTAAGGAGGGTGACATGCTCCAAACTTGCAAATATGGTACTTAAGAATGTCTAGCTTACAATCCCTCAACTGCAGGGATATCATTTGTTTAATTCTCTGGATCTCATAAAGCAGACATTGTTCTAGTGCGCTAATGAACATACCAGTTAGGCAAATTCAGATACCTTTTCCTTTCATTAACTTTAGAGAACTTGCCCTACCTTGCAGGCATAAAGCCAAATGAGGCAATTAGGCAGGGTTTATTTGGCAAGGGTTCTGTTCTTTGCCTACATTCATAGACTCATCATGATGTGGAGACCCACTAATCACACATCATTGGCATGGAATTTCAGCCAAATGAATGACATACCATGCTTCAAAGTCTTCCTTTGCTCATGTGATAAGGAATGTGTCAAGAGAATGTGTGTAGGCATCCTAGGCAGGCTGTGCTTTCACAATTATGAACTTTGATCGTAAACATCTTACTATACTGATTAGTTAGCGATATCATATGGAAATGGGATAGCGCTGTGCAAAGAACTGCATATGACAGGCTGGAACTTATATTCCAACACTAAAATAATAGAAAACAAATGTTGACAAGTATACAATATCCAGCAAAGTAAACAGTAGGAAATATGGGCTTGAAATACACACATCTACTCCCTGCTGAAATTGGATGATGACAATCTCATTGCGACCTGTGCGAAGAAAAATGTTAGTGCAACAAGAGTCTTAAGTAGGTTAGACAGTCTCAGTTTGGCACGAGATGGTTGATTGAATTTCTGGAATGGAGTTTTATTGTTGATTGAAGATCTTGCCCGAAGGTCTGGACAGATTGTAGGAGGTGCATTGTATCAGTTCCTTGTTCTTGTGTTGTGCGGATTGATGCAATTCCAAGACAGTTTCCGGATGGATGTTGTCAGGTGGAGTCGATGAAGTGGGGCAGTTCAGATGCATCAAGTCAAATCAGGTGGAGTCCAAAAAGTGGAGCCCCATCCTCTTGCAGAGCAGTTGAAGACTGGTGTTAGGAAATTCCTTGTTCTCTGCAAAACTCGAATATTAATGTTAACTAAGTAATTTTCAACTATTATATGTATGATTACTTTGAAAGGCAACAATAAAGAAGATAGTAAACATGAAGGAGATTAGACTTTCTGAAAAGGAACAGAGTATACACAAATGACAGTCCCTAATTTTGTTTTCTTCTGTCTTATATCACTATAATATTGATATAATACAGAAATTCTGAATTTTATTTTAACAATAAGATTGCATTAAGAGTAGGAAACCCAACCCAACTCCAAAGCCAGCTTCAGGTAAATGAATGGGTACTGAAGCACATTAAGAACCAAAACGAAATGGATATTATAAAAAACAAGTTAAAGAGACTTAGACTTTTATTCCACAGTGAATTATTATTTGTTTCATGGTTCTCAGAATAGCTATTAATTCTTCTTCAGGTATCCATATGTCCAGTATTTCTTTTGCTGTTTGGAGATAAGTTTTCTTGTGAAGACATTAAACAAAACACTTCTTGTTCTTTTTTTGAGGTCTCCTTAACAAAAGTAGAATATGACCGTGTAGAAAACATCTCCTGTGGTTTCTTCTTTTTGGATCGAGTCTTGATTAATATGATGGAAACCAAAGTTTTTCTGTGGAAATAAAGCCAAAACATCTTCCACAACATAATGCATAACTTGGTTTCCAGACTGAGGTCATAACAAATTTGAAATACTCTGGATGGTTCAGTTCAGAAGTTTTCTCTGAAGTCCAGTGTCGTTCTGCAGCAGTTTTTCCTTTTCATTAGCATTAACAAACTTCAATGTTAATAAAATATTATGTAATCTGTGTTGGGGGACTTTGTAAAACCTGGAAGTTTTTAGACGCATTTCTTTTAAGGTTAAGTTAGATCTTTCAACCACAGCTTGTCCTTTGCGATTGTGAGTTTCACCAGATACATGTTTTATATAATAATATTTTAAAAATGGTTCCAATTTGCTGGAGAGGTATGTTGGAGCATTGTCAGCTTTTATTTGTGCATTTATAATCATTACAGCCATAAAGTCTAAGAGTTGTGTGATAACAGAATCAGCCTTTTCAGAACTGGAGGCAGTACCCCATTTTTAATCTGAGAACGTGTCTATGGAGTGGTGTAACTATTTCAAACTGCCAAAGTCTGCAAGGTGAAAAAGTCCATCTGCCAAATTTCATTTCTGCAAATAACTTTGGGATTACTGCTTGCTGATAATGGACTTTGATTGTAGAATAAACAGGTGGGGCGGTTTCTTACATTTTCCTGGACTTGTTACCAAGGGGTAAAAAAATCCTTCTTTAAAACTTTGCTGTTAACATAGTGTTTCTTTTGAAAGTCGAAGCTTCCAACACATTTTCTATTAATAAAGGATCACTCTTATCTTTGCCTTGTACTAGAGGACCTGCCTCAACCATATGGGATCTGATGTACCTTATACATATATTAGATGAGTTCTATTTCTGATGGTTTTCTGTAATTGTAAAATCAATGAGGTTAATTCTGTACCATCATGAATGAATTCTGCAGTCTCAATGAGGAAGACAACTCTCTCTGCATACTGAGAATCCTTAAATATATTGAGAGGCTTTGTAAAGTCTTTAAGTACAGGATGTGACATACAACTCTGCCCTTTGTACAGAGTTGTAATGGCTTTGAACTACTTTACTTATATTTCCTAATTTAGAAACTGCCTTACCCGATTTGTTTGCAACAGTGTAGAATGAAAGAACTCCAAACATAGTCGCTTTTCACAAAAAATGTGTAAGGAAACTAATTGTTTTCTTTATCAATTTGATTATCTCTGTTTTGGGATAATTATTAGTAATCGTTCCCAAAAAGTTACTTCATGCCATTTCAGGTATTTGTTTTCCTTCCATTAGGAGGAAGTTTCCTCATTAGTTAAAGGTTCAGTAATTTCTGCTGTGTCTCTTCCAGTGAGTTGATGAAGCCTTAACTTATCTTTTAATATCAAATCAGAGACCTTGTCAATATATATTTTCAATTATTTATTCGGTTTATGTGGCAGAAATACCCATTCTAGTATGTCTTTTCTGCGTATTAATATTCCTGAGATGTATTCTCTAGAATGTAAAATAACCAAGTACAGTTTTGTTTTGGATCCACGTGGTCCACATGTGCTTCTAATATTCTCTTTTCTAACCATTCTAATTTTTTTCAGTCTCAGCTGATAATATTTGTCAACTATTTAGGTCTTTGTCTCCTTTTAAGGTCATTTTCAGGTGTTTTAAATCATGCCCTTCTACTGCAATAATTGTCTGTTGTTGAGAGATTTCTCCTAGTATTTTTTGAAGACGATTAAGAGTCTCTTAACAATCTATTCTGATCTGTACATTCTGCCATCTAATTTTCTGTGAGTCTATAGCATAACCTAAATTATTAATTAAATTTCTTCTACATATTTTTTCTGGGGCAATTTGTAATCCCCAGTGGGTTTACTTTACTGCTTCAAACATCTTTTCCAAGGAACCTTTGTTTGAATCAGGCAATAATATGTCATCCATATAATAATGTATTAATGATTACGGAAATTGTATATGAATGATTCCCAAAGGATTTTGCACAAAAAACTGGCAGAAATTCGGGTTATTTAACATTCCTTGTAGCGACATCTTCCACTGAAATATCTGTAATGGTTAATAAGTGTTATAGGTAAGTATGATAAGTGAACTTTTCTCTGTGTTTTTCTTGAAACGCTATCATGAAGAAGCAATACTTTAAATCCAAAACTACAATTGGCCAATTCATATCTGTTAGAGAAGGTAGTGGTATCACAGGTTGACAAGATTGCATACGCTGATTCACCTAGTGGATAGCTTTCAGAAAAATAACCATCTCAAATTCCAAGGCTTCTTTTGGTAACAAATACTGGTAAATTCCATGGAATATTTGATTTTTCAGTATATCCAGCAATTAGCTGTTCATGAAAAAACTTCCAAAGCTTCTAACTTCTCAGAGGTCATAGGCCATTGTCCTACCAATACAGGTTTATAAGTTAGCCATGTTAAAGGTAGAATTTTGTTTCCTCGGTAAATTTGGCACTAGCATCCTGTTTCTCTACATCCTGTATGTTTGCAATCTGTTTTCTGTGCCTTAAAATATATTTTATACCACTAAGATCTTGTCTGTGATTCATATCTGATACAGGAGTAATGTCAAACTGTGTATCTGATTGCTGTAATAGAGCGTGAGCATCTTACTATCATGGTAACACATGGAGTAAATTGTACTTTTTTGATGATGAGTTCCACATCACAAGAGCAGGTTTTGACACCCAACTTG